AAGGTGCCAGCCCTGAGCAGGCAGGGTCCTGCCACTGGCCTACTGCAGGAATTCTGTAAGCAGGAATTCTGGTGTTCCCTACTGGAAAACTGAAAAATTCCTAATAAAAAAATTCCAAAGTCACTCTGTAAAATACCCCGAAATCTATGTTCCTCCACAATTAAAACAAAAGACCACGATAGAGTGAGTGAGAGGCAGAGATCAGTTAGGCAATGTTTTATTGATATAGCTACAGTGTTAAAGCAATTTGGAAGCCTACCAGTGTCTCTATCATCATAATAAAATGAATTCTAAATACTTATATGTTTTGCTGCCCCCCACAGGGGACACAATCCCCCCAACAGAGGCCAAATGGCCCCTGCAGGAGCTACCCCCCACGCAGGGCCCATATGCCCCACCCCCACTTGCTTCCCCAACCCCCCGGATTGCTGCCCCACCACTGGCACCATCCCCCACCGGCTCCTGCAGCCCCCCTGATGGCTGCCCCACCCAGCCCTGCTCGCTGCCCCAAAGCCCCTGATTGGCTGCCCTGCCTGGCCCCATCCCCTGTTTGCACCCCCAGGCCCTGATGCCTGTCCCCCCACCCCAGCATGGGCAGGCAGCGTGCTTCAGCACCAGGGTGAGGGCCAGCCATAGAGATGTTCTGGCTGCTACCAGAGCATCTCTGTGGAGGACCCAGCCTCCAGTTGCCTCAGGGTACAGCCTGGGACCGTGCTCTGCCCCGCTTTTTTCTGCTGCATTTTTTTTTGCTGCATCTAATTTTGCCCCCACACTGCAAATTTGCAGCACGGGAAATGTTTTCTTGTTCCCACACATGCCTCTTGCAGCATCTCAAAGGGGTCTGAGACGCTATAAGATACACGTGTGTACTCCTCTGGATGTGCCCCAAGAGTTTAAAAACAAATTTGAAAAATATTTATTTAAAAAAAGGGGGGGAAACGTGTGAATGCTATTATGTAGATTAGGTATTCACTGAAGTCCAAGCCAGGTTACAGTTGTACTCCATAAGGAGAAGGATTAATAGACATTAAGTAACACAATACAGCATGGGTTCCTCTATAAGGTTATAAAGCTAGCCTGGCTTACCTGGGTGCACAAGATGGCACAAAGCAGCAGAGATACCAGGGGAGGGATTAGAAAAGTGAGTATGCATCTTACCAAATATGTTATTCCGAGTACTCTCTTGGGATGCCTCTATTTCCAAAGTGGTCTATCAGCTTCTGTCCATATCTGATACATTCGTTTCCCATAAAGAAAAGAGGTTACATTTGCTTTGCTCCTACTTAAGAGGCATATACAGAGTTTTCTGCGACAAAGTGCACGTTTCTGCTAAGGTGATTCATAGCACCGTCAGTCATTAGCAACTGCCTACATGATACACAATTCAGGAAGTCCCCAACTCCCGCAGGACCTGACATAACAATGAAACTGCAAATAGAGCTATCTTGGCTGTGCATTTTGCATATGTTCATTTTTTAAATTAATAACCTTAATGCTGGCAGGGAGTGGAGTACTGCCCATGTGATTTAGGCAAAAGCATGTAATAAAGTATTTGTTTAAAATAAAAAAGATATATATTTAAATTTTTTAATTTAAATTATCAGGTTAATACACACATACAAATTATATCTTTTTCACCCTGCCTCTTCAGTACTTCTGACATAGGACTAGGCACAGCACACTGTAGATAACTGAAGAATAAGAAGTTTAAAGGAGCCACCCATTTTGGTAGCATTTAGAGAGAGTAATATAGCAAAAAAGAACCCATAACATAGCCAGGTTCAAAAAGAGCACACACCTTCCTAATTCAAAAATTATATGAAATTTTGTACCAAATTCTGTAAAAATCAGGATCAATGCTCAATATGCATTTCTTTTTGGACAGTAAAATCTGGTTTCCTGGCTTCTCTGCTGTACTTTGTGTAATGCTATTTCATTCCCTTTTGTTTTTCCTTTTTTCCAACATAGATTCTAGTATCCCACTTACCTCCTTCATAGAAGGCATAACACTTAGTTCTATTCAGGCTGATTGCAGTAGCAGTTTTCTCAGAACCTCTTCTCCTGCAAATGCAGGACTACATCTTGTTATTCACTCCAGTATATAAAGCAAATTGATGGACAACCTGCATCTACTAGACCATTGAATGCTTGGTAAATGTGGCTATTAAAATGGATTGAAAGAGAAGGCAGAGAATAGAACAGAAAGAAGAGAGATTAGAAAAAGACTATAATATTGAAAACTGGGGAGGAAGGGGGATTGGCAGGAGGCAGGGGTGGGCACAGGGGAAGCAGGTTACAAACAGAAGGTAAAACAATCAGAGAAATTTGAGCACATTTATATTTTGGAAGTTTCCATTTAAAGGAAACCCCTAAGGCCATTTGTCTTGAGCTGGACAACACAAAGCTTATTGTGGCCTGAGTTATGAGTAGCTTCATACTCAACAGCATAAAAAAATATGGTTTCATTTCTCTTAGACCTTCAGGACTGCTGAGCTAAAATGAGTTGATGAAGTGATATAAACAAGAAGCCCTCCTGTGTCATCTGGAAGTAGATGGTCTCCCAATCTCATAGGCCAAAGTACTCATACAAACCCATTAGCAGCAGGGAGCATAGGTCTCAAGTCTCAGTAGTGCCAAGGCATAACATTATATACTCACAGCCAGATCTTTCTATACACTGCTGCTGAGTCGATGTGGAGCAGAAGTTGACTGCCTCTGTGTTGCCTTTCACTTTCAAATTTTGTAAATGGTTGGCACAGTGAGCTGGAGGATAAAACAGTCTTTGCCTGTCCAAGACAGCAGGTGGAGTTAGTTCCTTTGCTGCTTCCTGAATTGAGAGGCAGTATTTATCCAGGACCTTGAACATAATGCAATGATGTCATTGCACAAATTACATATCTTCCTACTTTTGAAAGTTTGCACTTTTTTGGGCTGTAACACCAGGGTTTTTATTCAAAAGAAAGCCTGCAAATCCTAAACATGAATACACAAGTGCCAAAATGCCTAAACACACAAAAAAATAACCTCATGACATACACCCACGCACAGCCTGAGGCTGACAGAAAAGTAAACTTCTCCCATGTCAGTGTGCGCACACATTTTTATACTTCCATTTACTCATGACAAATAATCGTGTTGCCGTATCACATGAAATTAGATTCGAAGAAAAAAAAAAAAAAAAAGCTATTTCCAAGTTTTTCTGATGCAACTAGTTATTTGGGATTCCTAACTTAAACATTTAAAAGGAGTCTTTTAGGAAGACTGGAGAGAAAAACAAAACCCTTCAAACATTTCCTCACACTGAATAATTAATATTGGAGACCGATTAGTACCTCTTAAAAATCCTGGTCCCTATGACTAGGTACCAAATTTTGAGGTAATGGGATTTACATTTTTAACCATATTCAACATAAACTAAATGATAAAGACATTTTCAACATTCATTTGCAATTAATTCCATGATCTAGAATTCCCTAAGTCCCAAAAGTGCTTCCTTCCCACGATTAAAAGCCACACCTAAGGCCCTGGCAAGTATTACAACATGTGTTAATCCAGGATAGAGCTTCCCCCTGCTTGATCCCTGGAATCAGGCTGGACAGTGCCAATATGGCCCTGGCAGTTGCATGATTTGTATTAAGAATTTTTATATTTTATCCCAAGCATCAGATGTGCACAGCAGGACACGTGTTGTTTGGGATGGGGCGTGAAATTCCTCAGATCCCAATTGTGCCCTTATTTTCACACCTGCCAGGGGCTTTAATGTAGTTATAAAATACTTGAAGGAGGGGTGGGGGACAGACAACATATTCATGACCTGTAAGTAACACTGTCAACATAATACTTCAAGTTCCAAATATTAAACATCCCAGTCTTACGCTGTTTAATCAATGCTGAGTTTCATTTTAGTTATAACTAAACTACCCGAAAAAGAAAACCGGATTACTTGCCCAGATAGTTTGAATGCACAAGACAGACATAACCACAATTATTGATACTGTCAGCAAGTTTTTCTACTGAACAGAGAAAAGGTTTTGAGAAATACTGAAACTCATGGTTTCCAGCTAGGCTTTATTCACAGATGGGGCAGCTCCTCATCCTTGTTTTGACTTCTCAGTAGTGCAGCCTCCTCCGAATTCATGTAGTGCAAATATTATATTCCTTTTATCTAATGTTTTTGTCTTAGTTTGTGCTGTGTATCTATACATACATACATTATATCATACACATTGCATTACATATATTGCGTGCACACGTGCAAGCATGCGTGCAATATATGATTTAGTGTAGTAGTACTGAAAGCACACATTTGTGTGCATTTAATAAGAACTTTTACATTCTATCCCACTATTTTTATATTTTAGAAGTATTCTGTATTTAAAGTATTACAGTAAACGGCTTTTATGAGCTATGATGTATAGTTTCATTCTATCCAGGTTTCTTATGTCAAGCAATCCAAGCGCCTTTTATTCTGTACTTTATAAAATCAATTGTCTAGTAATTAATTTATTTAACTACCTTTCAAAAATTAGACCTAGTTCTTCAGGGCAGTAGCCATTTACATTACCTGTGTGCATGAGGAACATTCACAGCAGTATTGTGCATTCAGGTACAACGTTTTATAAGTGACAGCTCTTCTTTGCATTTATCCTTTCATTTTACTTTTACAGTTGTTTACCTTAGAACTAAATGGGTGAGAGTTTTGGAAGCTCCAATAGCAGGTTTCAAGTTTCTGTTCTCCGTGAGCACATAGACACAAGACATTTACTGTGGAGCTGCCTGAACATCTCAACCTTTACATATGAGGTCCTATTAGGCAGCAGAAAACTAATGAACTCTGCCAAGGGTTAGTACTTGTAAATACAAGTATTGTCCTGCTGCAGCATTCTTTAGTACACAGCAACACATGTGAACACACTGATGGGGTTGGCTGGGGCATGAGTATGCTTCAGTGAGGGGCTGTCTGCCAGCTAGCCCTGCACTGGAGCACCCTCGTGCCTCAGGCAACCCCTCTGCAGCGCGCTGAGCCAGGTTGGAGCAGCCCTTTGGCTGGCAGCCTGATCCCTAGGGCCCCCTGCCAGCCAGGGCTGCTCTGACCCAGCTTAACATGCTGTGGTCCCAGATGCACATGAAGACATGGTGCCCAGGAGCAATAAACTCCTGTGCAACATGCACCGGGGTTTATTGCTCTGTGCTAATAGTACATACATTTAGATGCATTCTCTAGGTATGAAGAGACATGGGTGAAAGTAGTATTATGACCAGTTTTGTGAACCAGGAGAGAAAAACATCAAGTTTATTAAGCGTAGAGAAAAAAGCAAAAATCTCTATCACTAAATAGTTACAATGAACAAAATTAACTGTTAATCACTTTTTCTGAACTTAGTGGCTTACCAATGGTAGTATAGGCAGCCAGGTGGAGATGTACCTTGAGGCTAGCCTGATACAAAGAAGACTAAGAAAGAGGTAAACTGCTAAGTAAAGACTAATTGAATAAGAAATGCATAAGCTTTCATGGGCAAGATACTATGAAAGGATATATGCAGAGCAGGCTATAAAATAGCAATTTAAACACAAAAGATTAAATGAGCTCTTGTTCACAAAAGCTTATAGGTGAACTGGAACAGATATGCCTATGGTTCATCTTTACCTTGCTTTCTCCCTGGCTTCAAACGAACATGGCTAACTACCACTCTCTGCTCTACAATATCATAGTTCTGAGAACACATTAAGAACAAGAAAAGCCTAGATAAGACCAGGTATATGACTAGCACATTTTTAACTGGTCTCAGGATGCTTACTCCAAAGGTGACTTAAGAGATTTTTACATTGGCTTTGTATTTTCACCTCATTTTCAATCCAGTTCAAGTAGCAAAGTATTCCAACAGGTCTCAGTCCTTTGGGTAAGATGGAAAAGGCCTATATCAGAGGTTGATAACCATTTTGGCAGGAACACCAAACATACCCCATGCCTTGATTTGGCATGCTGGGGCAGACTGGGGGGAGGGGGTCACAGCCTGATCCTCATTGCTGGCAGCAGCTGCACGTGCCTCTGGGTGGACCATGAGGGAGGGGACCAGGGTTGTGCTGCCTCGGCCCCTTCTCTGCCCTCCGAAGTGCAGTTCCCACAAGCATGGAGCCTGGGCAGCTATTTGCAGGCTACCTGCTGCAGCTGCCTAGAGCCCAGGCTGCCTGTGGCAGACAGCTGG